TGAGAGCAGGCCTGTGTTGTGGCCACAGCTTCTCCTTTCCTGCCTCAGCTTTCTCAGTCATCCTTACCCCTTTTTATAAAGGAAAGGCAAACAGCTCCTCCTTGTTTAACAATGGGTGTAAAATGTCCAGGGATGACAAGCAGAGGGACAATTCACAACATTGACCTGGACTTGAGAAAGCAGTAACTCCAATAAATTATTTTTAAAAGCCGGGTGTTTTCATATTCTTTCAACCAAATTGAAGAAGATGATAGATGATAAATGATAGTACACACAGTCATATTTGGCATTAATTTAGGAGTCCAAAGAAATGACTGGTTTTGCTGTAAGAGGACTTCTATCTACTTAGTAATATGAAGAAGTTTCTTATCACATAAATATGAGCAATTGGAATATAAGTGATGCTGAGCCCCATCACTCTGAACAGTAAGTTATGCTTGAAAAGATAAGCCAGTTGAAAAAAAACCCACTCATTTTACTAAGACAGCACTGCCAATAAAAGTTTACTTCAATGTGATTTTGATCCATTATGTTTTAATAATTACAATAAACCCATGAGATATTGTTTAACTTTTAGAGACTTCTGGTCACAGGAAAAATGTAAACATTTTAATTTCATATACTTTTTTTCAAAGAAATATGATAGGTAATCAATAAAAGACTGTGAAACATAAGATATATTACATTAGGATAAAATTCTGTGGGGGAAGTGAATTAGAACTAGGAGTTAAACTTAAAAAAGTGATGTAAAATTTGTGTGCTAAAGACAAGATTTTAAAATTGTTTTTGGTTTTTTTAGTGAATGATGAGTATCACATTTAGATTTACTTGATACATTTTAAAGATTCACATGACAGTGTTAAAACACCAATGTTTACAATATTCTGGAAATTATAGCCTTCGCAACTATGTAAATAATATGAAAAAATTTAAATGTTAAACTAAAAACATGCCAAGGGAGTACACAGCTTTATAAAATTCTTCTAAGGTGTTGTAGGCAAAAAACTTTGAAGACCCTGCTGAGGAAAAATTCCTTCAAGCTTTGCTGTGAAGGAGAATAAAGAAATGGGATAGTGGCTGAAGGGTTAATGCTTGGTCAAGAGGGATGATTTAAAACATGAGATGAGGTATATTTCTATGCTGATGGGAGTGTAGGGGGGGAAAATTCTTCTCTACCCTCTTAGCGTCTCCAGCTGGGCTTCAGAATTAAACTGACATAGGACAGATTAGCAAGAGAAAAGCATACAAGTTTTATTAAAGTTTTGCATGTACATGGACCTTCACAAGAGAATGAAGACCCGAAGAAGTGACCAGATCAGGAAGCTTTTATACCTTCTAAACAAAGAAACAATAAACTTGTGAAGAAATAACAAGACAAAGGGGTTTGGGCTAGGAGCAGTCAATGATGGGAAAGCAGCTATGAGATAAATGGGAGCAGGGCAAAATAGACGAGTGATTTTGGTAAGTTTGTACAGATCCACTGCAGCATCAATTCCCAGTCTATGATGATAAGGGTTGTCTTCTCTTCCTAGTACAGGAAGGGTACCTTTCTCACAGGAAATTTTATGGCCTGTTTTTAGATAGAAAAAAGGAGGTCAGAGAGCCCTTCCTGCATCTGTTTCTTAAGTGCGCTCTGCTCAAAATAATCAATATGCTCAAGTGGCTTATTTTGGGGTGGCATGTCCTGATAGAGCTGATGTAGGAGGTGGAGTGAAGTTCTAGAGAAGGTGAGAGCCAGAGGGATCCAGGGCAGAGGCAGAGCGATTGGTCACTTTTGATACGGGAGGAAAGGAGAAGGTGGCTGCAGGTTAGGTAAATCATAGATATGGTGAAAGGAGATGAGATTGTCTTTTTCTCAGTAAAAAGTGAGTGAGATGGGGCATCAGCTGAGAGGGGCAGTAGTTATGAGGAATGTTTAGGAGATGTTACGAAGTAGGAGACAGACATTATATATAAGCTTATCTGACATCTACACTTATAACCTAGATAGATGTCCAAATGTGTTTGGTGGTCTGTGGAAAGACATGTATGTTTTTGCTTTATGGGAGGGAATTCTAGTGATCTATCACTCAAGGAATTCTTACCAAGAGATTAAACATTAAAATAATAAGTTTTTCCTATAATCAAGCCCCATATAAATCAGTTTTCATTTATGTTTTCAACATTTTGAAAATCCCTTCACAAATCTCAAAAAGTCCTAATGTTTGGTATATATTGTCACCTCTGACTGTGAAAGACTCTCCTGGAATACTAGAGGATCATCACTGCCATTTTGAGGGTTATTTTCACACCTTTTATACAAATTTGAAAAAAATATACAGCAGTCATAGAAGTCAAATAAGGATAATCATTTTATCAGAAGTGAATACAGAAGAAATTTTTATTTCCAAACTCTGCTAAAAGTACTTTGCTGCTAAAATCAAATTTGTTTTATTTCCTTTATTGGAAGCTTAGAGTGGTGGTGAGTATTTTAAAAATTCTATTGGTTTTTGTAAAGATAATAGATTTTTGTCAAATTGGTCACTTGATAGCAAATATATTTCCTTAGTTATTACCACATCTACTACGTAAAACTAAAATACTAAAAAATAGAGCTACTCATTCATATTTAAAACTTTTTGTCATAGGAATACATTTAATACCATATATATTGGGAGCTTTCTCCTAAATACCAACTGATTAAAATATAAACTTCATACTTCATGATCTAGAGTTTGTTCTTACCTAAAACACTGAATCTATTATGGCAAGGAACAGCATAAAAAACTTTCTTTAAAAACAGAAACAAAAACAAATATCCTAAATACGCTATCTGAATCCTGAGTTTCAGTTCCTGGATTTAGGTAGAGAATCCAAAGAAATCTTGTTATCCAAATCTATCTGTTTCTGAGTGTCAGCTAGCCAATAGCAGGAGTTTAGATAGCAAAAAAAAAATTATCCAAAAATTTCTTGAATCTCAAGTTCCTGAGTTTGGATAGCAAGGATTGCCTTGAGTATCTTTCTGCACATATATGCACAAAGATGTTGTAAGTACTCAGATGTATTATCTGTCAGAAACAATGTGCATCATCCTGAACTTTTCTCTCTCTCCTCTCATCATAAAACCCAATCAAGTCCTTAAAGGTTGTATTTTCTAACTCAAATCTATTTATATCCATCATTCTCACCAGTTCCAATAAGTCTCTTAATGGTCTCCCTGTAAATCGCATCCCTCCTTAGTCCATTCTTTACACTGTAACGGAGAAAATATTCTAGACATTTAAATCACACTACTGCCCTGTTTAGCACCCTTCAGCACCCTTCAGTGGTTCATCATTGCCCTTAGGATCAAGGCCTGTATCTCCAGAGCTTCATCCCACATCTTTTCCTGCTACCCTAGGTTCCTTAAATCATCGCACTTGCCTTTTCCTGACAGAGTCACATCCTCTTATCTCCAGGGCTTTGTTTATGTCCCCACCTTCCTAGGACAATGTCATCCTCTTCATGTGGATAACCTCTACTTCAGCTCTCTGCCTAAAATGTTACTTTCTTAAGAGAGGCATCTCCCATCCTTCCTTCCCCTCACCCAAAGGGTAGATTAGGGATCTATTCTCTGAATTCCCATTGAAACCCGTACTCCCCACCATACCAGTCTATTTGTGAAGCATCTTATCTAAACTCCCTGAACTCTAGGAGTGTAGCCACTATCCCTAGTTCTTAGCAGTGTCTGACACACAGTAAGTACATGCTCAATAAATATTGCTGCATGGATGAGTTAACATTTCCAATAAAATTAGTATAACCTGCTCTACAAACTCAAATACAAACCTATTTGCAATGCTTTTATTTTCTCCCAAACAAATGCTTAATCACCCAAAAGCCCTTTTAGCAGGAAGCCCATTATTTCCCACTTGTGGAACACTCCCTCATAGATTGCCCAGATACCCCAAGGGATAACTTATTCAGTCTACAGTGGGTTCTGTTCTTAACTGGAGTCTGATCAGTTGGCTAATGCTATAGTTTCCCATTATCTCACATTGTCACTTTTGGAAACTGGATCCAAGAGGCAGTGCTTGTGTGGATGTCACCCTTGCCGATCTATATTTCTGCCGTGAGGTCAGACTCTTTGAGGAATGATAGGCTGTTTGCCAAGGATGTTCCTTGGCCCACATTTGGCCTAACAAGAGCCCACTCTTAACAATCAGCCACAGCAGATCACAGACAGCCTCAGGAGGGTTGGGTCAGGATGACTGGGTTTACCATGGTTCCAGAGCCACCATTTCTCCCTTTCTCTCCAGTGAGCACCACTTACCAAAAAAATGAGGCAGTTTTAAAAATTCTGTTTATCTCAAGACACAGAAAGTCTTGCTGAGCCTTTCTCTCAGCACATTCAGAATCCTTACTGCTTGCCTATCCTTCTAAGTAAGGCTTCCTTCTGTCATTCTCAATCCTAGCCCGTGCTGTGAAAGGAAGGAAAAACACAAATTTGATCTTTGGTAGAGTACTTTTCTGGTCAGGCAGTCTGGCATGTCAAGAAAGAAGAGACTGGTGTGGAAAGACAGTGAACTAGTTGAAGCTTGCAAACTTGAGTCTCTTAATTTTGCAGCCAACTAGTTGGTCTAATGACTTTAGCCTCTTTAAGCCTCAGTTTCTATTATCTGCAAAAATAGGAGACTCTCTGATCCTTTCCAGCTCTTTAGAAGTCTATAACCAATATTTTTTAAAAATCATTTTTGTTGAAACAATTTACATACAGTGAAATGCATTTTAAGTATGCAGTTTCAAGTGTTTTGACAAATTTATACTATAATCAAGTTACAGAACATTTCCATCCCCGCAAAATGGAATTTCCATTTCCATCATAGTTCCCTATGGCCCTCTGCAGTGAGTCCTCCTGCCCTTAGCAACCACTGACTGGCTATTTGTCACTATAGATACAGTTTTTCCTATTCTAAAATTTCATGTGAATGGAAGATATGGTATATATTCTTTCTAGTTTACTGATTTTTAAAATCATAGCAAGATATATATAATGCTTCATAAATTTGTATCATCTTTGCACAAGGATCACACTAATCTTCCCTGTAAAGTTCCATTTTTGGTATACATGCTGCCAAAGTGAGCACAGTATATAAAACACAGTACGTAAAGACTTCTTTTGTACCTAGGTTTGTTTTTTGTTTTTTCATGGCATAATATTTTTGTGATTCACTCCTGTTTTTGCATGTTCAAGGTATTTTAAATATATTTTAAAAGCAAATAGATCCCCAGTACCTCCATTAAACAAATAGATAAATAAACCTAATTACTGCCCCCCCCTCAAAGCAAACAGTGTTTTTAGACTGGAGAATTTTTTTTGAATACTGTCATTCTAATATTAAAAAGTTAAATAAACTTGAGTAATTTCTTGATGTTATATGGTATCTGTTTATTAGCAAAGAAAAAGGTCATATGCTATTTATTTTCAGAATCAATTGATTTCACAAGTGAGAACATAATAGTGAACCCTATAAGGATAGTATCAGAGCAGGGAAACAGGGATGACCCTATGGCAGCAGATAATGGCAACCCATTGTGAGGAAAGCACTGCAGAGGGTGGCAGGGGCAGTCAGGTGGGGTCAGGAGATTGGCTTGCACAGGGGATTCAACATTATCAGTAAACATATTTCAGATAATGGTGGCCAGATTTCTCACTGACTGAAAAGGAAGAAACAAAAACAAAGAGGGAGAAAGTTAGATGAATCCTGCAGTATTGAATTGGACTTGGAATTATCAATGTGAATTAGCAGTTTACAATACAGGTGGGGAGTTATAAAAATATAGAGGGTATATACTTATACTTCCTAGCTCTGTCCACAGAATGGGCCTGGAAGCAGAAATATCCCAGTAGAAATGAGCATACCTAGGACCCAGATGTTGGTTTCTAAATACCATTCCTCACTCAAAGAAGCCAGTGTTTCTTGAATAACTAGCTGATTCCAGACGAGAACAGGAAAAATTAAAGTTGAGCTTGGAAAAACTTATTGTGCCAAGAGGTATGGAAGTGTTAAAAAAATGATGGAGACATGTCAGGAGAACACACAATTCAACATGAAGTGGCTCCCACTGGCCAAGTCTGGGATAACCTAAGCATCAAACTAATGCCATTTATACATTATAAATCATTCAATTAAGTAGAACCCACGATATGACTATATGAATAAAATACAGGGAGAGGAGACAGTTTTTTCTGACAGTAAGATAGAAATAGAAAAATGCCATTTGGCAACTATCATAGTAATAATTGATTCAAGAAAGAACCATCAATGGGTGCTAATACTGGTAGATAAAAAAGGGGTGAGGAACTAGATATGTGTGTAGTTTCAAAGTATCTCCACATATAATATATGTTAACTACAAAGAAGAAAAATAACTTCACAATGGAGAAGATAAGAAGACATTATCTTAATCAAATGATGAAATTTACCACCACCACTAATGTACAAATTGACATTGTGTGCCACTCAGCACGATATGAGGTGTCATCGTACGAATCTAAATTGAGGGACAGTCTACAAAATTACTGTCTTATAATCTTCAAAAATGTTAAGGGCATGAAACTCAAAGACTCAGAAACTTTCCCTGATTGAAACAGTCCAGAGAGACATGACAACGAGGTATAAGGCTGAACCTAAATTGGATCCTTCCTAGGTAATATAAAGGATATTACTAGGACAATTCACAAAACTTGAATGTGGTCTCGGGGTACATTTGGGAATTCTCTGCACTATTCTTAAAATTTTTCTGTAAGTTCAAAATTATTTCAAAATGTTTTTTTTTTTAAAAGATCGAATCAGTTGGTTTCAGAAATCACTTTAAAAAAATATATTTACTATCTTGGCCAGAATTTGTTAGAATCTTTTTTCCCTCCCAGAACTCTTTTGGATCTGTTACAATATATTTGCTTGCAAGTAACAGGAAATCCACTCAACTGTCTGAAACAATAAAAGAAATGCATTTTCTCAGAAAATGTCCTGGGGTAGTTTAGTCAACGGGTTAATCACCAGCCCAAGACTGTCTTTAAATTGTTCCCCTTTCATCTCTCAGCGTAGCAGCTTTACCCCATCTTGGTTCCCCTCATGACTGCAACGAGGTTTCAGCAACTCTAAGCTTAATGTTCTGATATTACAACGTCCAAAGGCCCAAAAGGGAAGAAGAGTACATCCCTTAGTCATGCCTATTTTTAAACATCAGGGGAAATTTCCCAGGAGCACTTCAGCAGACTTTCCCTCACCTTTCATTACCCATAATCACATGTCCACTCTTAAATGAATCACTGGCAAGGAAATTTGAATCCCCATTACTAGAGTGGATTGATCAAAATTCATCTTCTGGGGCTAGCGAAGGACCAGCTTCCCTTAAAAGCATTTTACCACTTAATACCTGAATGAAATTGGAATTCTATAAGCAAAGAAGAAAGAGAATGGCTGCTGAGTAAGCAACCAACATTATCTGTCCCACAATACTCCTTAATTTAATTGAATAATCTTTAAAGATTTCTTTAAACATCTCTATTTTCCAGTGTAAAGGAAATTTTAAAAGAACATATGTTACATATGATGGATTACTGAATTTACTTCAGAACATTCAGGCATTTAATTTTTCTAAATCCAGTTATAACCAGTTCAAGTCTCCACTCACCCCTCTGATTCACACAGATTCCAGTGCTGGCTTCCCTGACACGTAATTCATTAATCTAGTCACTGGCTAACTCTCAACCTCAGCAATCACTGAGATGTACTCACATCTTGATCTGATCACCATCTGTGTGGCCCCATAGAGATCAAGGTATAGCTTGAAGGGAGTGGGAAAGGGTGAGCTGCGAACAAAGGGATTACAGGGACAAGCCCTGCCCTCTTCCCACCTATGTTGATTCTAAAAGTTGAAAACCAAAAAACAATGTTTACATTATTGTAGTTATGTAAATGTCGTTCACTGAAGAGCCAGACTTTTCTATGATTGCACTTTCTTCTCCGGTTCCAATGCATAACTTAAAGATCCTCTTCATATCTCTCCTCTGCTGGGACCCTTGTTTTTTGGGTAGCCACACCTTCTTTTTCGCTGTGTTGGTGTATGACATACACAAATAACCTGAGAAAGTATGTGTGGAAGGTACACTTTTTTGAGTCAGTGATTAACTACAGGTCTTGTGACTCTTTCACACTTGATAGTTTAACTAGGCACAGAATCCCAAGTCCAAAGCATTTTCTATTGTCTGCTTTGCTCCACTGTCCTCTACCTTCCAGTGTTGCTCTTGAGAATATATCATTTCAATTTCCTATGCTTTGAATACGGCTTTTTTTTCCCTCTGTGGAAGGTGTTAGAGCTTCTCTCTATCCTTGGCATTGTAAATTTCACAATGACATACCTTGTTTGTTTGGGCATCACTTACTTCTATTTTTCAGTATAAAAAGCACAATTTTAAGAAACGATGACTATGACAAACAGAACCATGGCAAGTTATTAAACATATTTTTGTACACATATATGAATATTCCAAGAGTAAAATATCATTAAGTGTGAAACACATGATAGCACTATCCATATATACAGAGCTCACACACAGATCCACCTGGGTCATCTCTGGATCTTTTATATACATGTCATTGATACAAAAAGTCTGCAGTTGAACTTCTACTCTCCAGTTGTCCTTTTCCTGATATAAAGTTAAATATTTAAGGAACTTTAGAGATATAAAGAAAATGCATTAAATGCTAAGAGCTGTCTGTGCTTTACCCTGAACAATTGTGCACTATACCTTGATAAAAACTTCTGTAGCCCATTTCTAGCTAAGATAGTGGAAGATTCTTCTAGTTCCTTTTTAGCCAGTTTATTTCTTCATAGTCATTTGAGGACAAGGTACAAAAATAGCTCAGGAAACAAATTCCATTTATATGGTTAAGTTCAGTATAAAATGCCACTCAGTTTTTAAGTCACTAAAAGGACACTTTCTGCAGCAAAAAAAAAGTTCAAGTTTTTGTTGTTTGACAAAGACATGATAATGCAATACATATATTATATAATCATTACAACAACCTAAAGTGAAATGTATACAGTTTAAGGGAAACAAGTTTGCAATTGTTTTAATCTAGAAATCTGTGTTTCTTGGTTGTAGAACTTTTCTTGAATTATTTTATTTCATTGATAATTTCATCCTCCTTCTGATTTTCTCTTTCTGGAACTCCTATTAGTCAGATGTTGAATATCCAAAGTTGAATGATCAAAAGTTCCCAATCATCATTTTTCCTCCTATAGTCACAGCTATTTCCTTAATCTTTCCTATAATTGCATTTTTATTTCAGCAAGTAAAGAAGCTCCTCCTTATTCTCTTTTTTCTTGTATTATCTTGTATTTATTTTATGGATACAAATGTTCTTGAATTTTTCTGAAGATACTTATATTAAAGTTATTTTTTAATGTTTTATTTTGTTACCTGAATTAGTTTTTCCCTCTAAGGTCATTTTTTCTCTTAGTTTATTTTGCTCTTTTTCTGTTGGGTTGTTAAGAAATGTTTTTTGGCTATTGGTCACATTTAAGAACTAGGCAAGAGGAAGCCTGTCTACAAGCCTGTGCTTTTGGGTGGGGCCCTCTCCTGGCCTGCTTTAGTGTGAATGACAAGAAGCTGGGCACAATTCTACCAGACACCCGACTCCAAGTCTGCTCTTCTATTTCTGGTTCTCACTTCAGCCGGTGGCTCTTCCAAGAAAAAAAATCTTGAGATTATCTTCAATTTGTCCACCCCTCCCCAACCATTTCCTAGGTCATTTTCTAAGTTTTGTTGATTTTCTTTCCTAAACATCTTTTTTTTTTAACATCTCTTAACTCTCATGCTTCCTATTTTATCTCCACTGTGATCATTTTATGTGTCAATCTGTTTATGTTATAATAGTGAATCTATACTGATTTCAAACTATGTAAAGAATAGTTATGTTCAGAGAAGCCCAGCTTCTGCAGTTCTAATCCCTCCATCTCATTCCTGCTC